TTATAGATTTTGGATACTAGCCCTTTATCTGATATGTCATTTGCAAATATCTTCTCCCATTCTGTCGGTTGTCTTTTGGTTTTGTTGACTGTTCCCTTTGCTGTGCAAAAGCTTTTTATCTTGATGAAGTCCCAATAGTTCATTTTTGCCCTTGCTTCTTCCATGATATTTATATGAAGCCAAAAAGAATGCCATGGTGTCATCAAAGGGAATAGCCAATTGTGGAATTGTGTTGTTATCTGAGTTCATATTTTTTAATATTAGCATATTGACTATAAAGATAAGCCATAGCCAGATCTAACTTGAAGAATATCTCTTATAATTGTGAGCCATATGTATATGGAGCTCAAGATTTTTTTTAAAACAAGTATATGCACATACATACATACATATATATGTCACTGAAGTACAATTTCCTGAGCTTATTTATTCCACGTTGTGTTTTAGCAAACATTTACCAAATGCTTTTTTATGAAACAGGCAGTGTTCTAAGTGCTTCAGTGTTAACAGTGAACCGTAGCTATAAAATCCCCATGTTCATGGCATTCATGTTTTAGTGGGGTGTGCAGGTAATGTACAAATATAAAGAGCATAGAACATCAGTGAGTAATGAGGCTATGAAGAGAAACCAAAATAAATGGAGAGAGAATGGCAGGGGATGTGCGTAAATATGATGTTTGCTATCTTATCCTGTGGAGTCAGGCTACACCCCTTTGAGGAGGTAGCAGAGACCCAGTGAAGCATGGGAACTAGCCTGGTGGATATGTGATAGAAAGAAAGGCCAGATAGGGACAACCACCAGGTCCTAAAGTGGGATCTTCCTTGCCATCATGACTGAAGGTCAGAAAAAAGACAACTATGGCTAGAACTGACCGAAAAGTGGTAGAAAATGAGATTGGAGATATGGCTAATTGTTAGATCATATAGGTTTAGTAGGTCACTTTATGGACTTTAGATTTTATTCTCAATGTGACTTGTAGGATTTTGAGCGGGAAGTATCAATGAATCTGCTTAATAACCCAAATATTTTCTTATTATCATGGATTCAAAGATATTTTAATAGGAAATCCACTTATTTTTAAGCTAACCATGGTGATAATAATTACTAAATAAAATAAATAAATGTCTGAAAGCTAAGTTCTGCTACAGGTTTCATTCTTTATGAATAGAAATGTAATAGTATTTTAATAAAGTGAAATTTAATGCACTCATTAATATTGAAATCAAAACACACATTGTCTTTAAGGGTTTTTTTTAGTAAATTGGGACATAAGTATGGAATCCAGGAATACATTTGGAAATCTACCTTTGTCTGAGTGTAGCAATGTTATGATTTAGTCAGTTACCGGAAAAAACCGCATAAGGGGAGGAAGAAGAAAGACTCGTTTATTCATGGAAATCAGCACTTACCATATGCCTAGCTTTGTAGTTTTGGTTTAAAAATAATTGAAGCAAAAATTGTCAGGAATAACGGGAGAAAAAAGAAATCTGTAATTATATTTGGATATTTTAACATCCTTTCTCACTCTTTGATAGAACAAGTACATGGAAGAAAATCAATGAAAATGTAGAAAATCTGAATGAAATTATCAACTACTTGACCTGATTGGTATTTATAGAAGACTATACCTAACTACAGAATATTCCATATTTTCAAGTGCATATGGAACATTAACCCAGATCTCAATAAAATTTAAAAGACCAAAATTTTCCAGAGTATATTTTCTGACCAAAATGGAAGTAAATTAAGAATTAATATAAATAGGGGCACCTGGGTGGCTCAGTCAGTTGAATGTCCGACTATTGATTTTGGCTTAGGTCACAGTCTCAGGATTGTGGGACTCAGCCCCAAGTCGGGCTCCATGCGGGGGGCATGGAGCCTGCTTGGGATTTTCCCTGCCTCTCTCTCTCTCTCTCATTCCCTCCCCCTTTCTAAAAAAAATTTTTTTTAAAAAAAGAATTAATATAAATAATATAGATAATAATGACCTTATCTATTTGGAAATTTAAAAATGACCTTTTAGATAATCCTTGGGTCAAAATGGAAATTGGAAAACATTTTAAGCTAAATTTTAATTAGAAATTCACATATAAATATTTGTGAGATGCAACTAAAGCTTTGCTTAGAGGGGAAATTGTAGCTTTACAATGCTAATATTAGAAAGGTAGATATAAAATCAACATTCTAAGTATCCGCCTTAAGAACTGATAAATAAGATAAATACCTTATGTATAAATGTATTGTAAGTACTAAGCAAGATATTGCTGTGTCAGTTTTTTAGATGAAAGGCATAGAGGAGTTAAGAAACTTCCTTAAGATCACAGAGCTAATAGATAGAAAAGTCAGAATTTGAACCTAGATTTGCCACCATGACTCCCAATCCATCATACTCCTGGCTTTACTTTTTTTTTTTTTTCAGTCCTAAGTGATGATAAAAGTAAAAAGACAAGTGTGTAAGAGAAATTATTAGGGCATGTGTCAAAGGAGACATGAAGGATAAAGGTGGTATTGCCTTTACTATATCAAAGAGACCCTTTCTATTTTTTTCTTCATCACAGATGTTGTCACTGTATAAATAATTGGCCAAATTAAGAAGAGTTTGACATTACTTTAAGTACTCTTTGGAGAGTACATAATTCCACTCATGGGGCCATATTTTGCCGGACAGAGAATGAGAATTATAGCAGTTTAGGTAAGGAGACATACAGCATGTACAGCCGTGAGTTAGGAGTGTCCAGATTAGCAGTCGTAGCACAAGAAAGCCACGACTAAAGAGAAACAGACATACCCAGAGATACATACACAAGGCTGAGGCCCAGGGAGATACCCAATTTTATATGCCGAATTCTTTAAAATATGAAGATTTTTTCTGTGCTTTTTAAGTATACCATTGACGTAATCTTGCTTGTATTTTTTGCTTAAACCTTGAGATTAAAAAATAGCTTTATTTCAAGTTATTGTATAAGAAAACACCATATTAGTTTGGATTAATTTTAACTGTATGTGGCAGAAAACCTCAAATCACTGTAGCTTAAATTAGGTAGAAGAGTATTTGTTTTTCATGTGAGAAGCCCAGAGGTATGTAGTCAAAGGGTGATTTCAGGGTGAGGGGCTCAGATTCCCTCTAGTTTTCTGCTATGTTGTGGATGATTTTAATTCTCATGATTATGTAATGTTCTAAGATGGCTGTTGATGCTCTGGCCATTCCATTCCAGCAGAAAGCTATGAGGAAGAAAGAAAGATGGGTATTTTCTGTCTCTTTAATGCCATCTTTTATTTTTATTGAAATACAATTGACATTATATTAGTTCTAGGAGTACAATATAATGATTCAATATTTATATCTGTTGCAAAATGATCACCCCATAAGTCTAGTTAACATACATAGTCACAGAATTATTTTCTTGTGATGAAAACTTTGGAGAACTACTCTCAGCAACTTTTAAATATACAACACAGCCTTATTAACTATAATCACCATGCTTTTTGCATTACATCCCCATGACTTACCTATTTCACAATTGGAAATATGAATGTTTGACTCCCTTTTTGCATTTTTAATGCCATCTTTTGGACACTGTTTACACCCTTGACTTGATTCTCCTTGGCTAGATCTCAGCCTGTGTCCACACATAGCTGAGCCAAGGTGGCAAAGAAGTTCTTCCACGCAACCTCATGCCAGCTAAAAATTGGACAGTCTCTTGCTATGGAGGAATGGAAGGATGGGTGTGGGGAGTCAGCTATTTGTAGTCCACAAATTTAGATGATTAAAACTCATTGCAGATGCAAAGAGCACATCGAACATAACGTAGCTATGGTTACCGGTCATTTTTTCTGTAAATCACGAGTAATCATTTCCTTTTGTTTCCATTGCTTCTTTCTACTCCCAACATTGCCAAATCAGGTGGAAAAATAAAAATCGGGTGCTATTTTTTATCTTGTATTTTCCGCTCCCTCCACAGGTATCACTACAGTTCTGACTATGACAACTCTGAGTACAATCGCCAGGAAGTCCTTACCTAAGGTTTCTTATGTGACTGCGATGGATCTCTTTGTTTCTGTTTGTTTCATTTTTGTTTTTGCAGCCTTGATGGAATATGGCACCTTGCATTATTTTACCAGCAACAAAAAAATAAAGACTGCTAGAGACAGAAAGCTGAAGAATAAAAGCTCGGTATGTTAAAAATCTCTATTTTCATAAACAGCAACTTACTGTTAGAGATATTTTGAACGCTCATGTTACACTTGCTTAGACTAATAGAGATTCTTGAGGTACTCTAACAAAAGCCAAATCCCATTAAGATGAAACTGGAGGTTTCAATGACTGTTAGGTCATTGCCCACCAGGAAAAGTATATATAGTTCCCCTTAGAAAAGACTAAGGATCCCCCTTGTAAAGAGTGGTTTTTTTACACTGTGAATTTTCCTCAAGTGCTAGATTCTTTGTACCTAAAAATTTATTTAAGATCTCTCTTTGATTCTATTTTTTTGGGTTAGGATTTGGGCGCTAACAACAGGTGGCCCACAAAATTACTTCATTTTTAAAGATAAAGAACGCTCTTTAATGTTAGTATTCAGCTGCGTTTGAAAGTCCTATCTATAAAGTGTTTTCAGTTTGTGTATAATTGTGTGCTCTTAGTCCCTCTTCCCTATGGTGTATCCACCTCGACACGGATAACATCAAATTGATATATTAGAATTGGTTCTATTAATGCTAAGGTACTTAAGTGTTGGATGATTGACTATAAATTCTTATTGGAATGGCAATTACAACAACCTTAAAATAATACCTAACACTTTTACTGAATATGCCAGGTGTTTTACGTGCGTGATTTCATTTATGCTCCTATGAGTACAAGTTCAGTAATTTGCACAAGGGCAGCCTGAGGAAGTGAAAAATCCAAGACTCATACCCAGGTCTTTTTTGGTGCCAGAGCTGAAGCTTGTAATCCTTCCTTTTTATTTCCTGTTCTCATAGGACTCAGAAAAGCAAACATCTGTTTCTCCAATATTGACCAAAAAGGCACTTTATTGCTGATTCCAGTAAATGTTTTCAAAGCAGATTTGTTCCCAAATACCTAAATAAATGAGAACTATATACAACAGCTACGCCTGAGTGGCAAGCTTGTAAGCCTACCATAGAGCCTATATAATGAGGCATGGAGTTTTACATATTATCTCCTAACTTCGTAAGTTCTAGGATGCAATACTTTTCATCCCTCCTCCCATTTTTAATTAATTTCTTTATAAAACTTTGACATATTTTTAAATTATATTTTACTTTTCATGTCATATTCCAAGGACCAAACCCTATGTAGATTTGCTGTCGGTTTCCCAGAGTATTCCAGGAGAGCAGAGCACATGGCTGGCAGGAAACATTTGATAACTTACATTGCAGAATTAGCCTGTGACTTTCTCAATTTGACTTATTTTAGCTTATCCATGGGACATATTGTAGCCCCTGAAGGGACAAACCATCAGAGGGCAATGATGTCAACTTTAATATCCATTTGCTGAATTTTTAGGTAAAGAAAAATGCAGTTTTTCTACTATTTTCCTTTAATCAAAGCAAATTATCCTCTCTGGATGTTCCATTTTATTTTTTACTCACCCATAGCTATGTTCAATTACTACTTTGAAAATTTTACTTCTGGAAATTGTGAATAAAATCAGGAAATGTACAATCTCACATAGATTCTCTAATTTCATTTTAAGAATATATAATGTACATACTAATATTATCAAAGACATTCAACTAAGTGTCTACTCTGGGACTATAGCTAATCAGTTTGTCACATTTACTCAGTAAACTTAAACATTGGAGTGCAAACATTAAATTTATGATGTTTTTTAATCTTCCATTCACCAAATATTTATTAAGGACACCCATGTCTTAAGCAATGTTCTAGAATAGTTATTTAAGAAAAAAAAAATTTATATTAAGTATTTAAAATTTAGCATCAAGCCCAGGAAGCAAATAGTAGAGATGAAAAAATATGGAATAAAAATTAAATAAGAGCTTTGAAACACTAAATTTCAAACATCAAAAGTTAAATTGATATATATAACTGACCACGTGGGTACAAAAATATTTTCCTCAGAGCCAAAATAAAGTTCTGTAGTCTTTCCTTTCTGTTCAGTTATGTGATTTATGAGTTCTTTTAATACTAAATGACATTTTGATTGAAAAACTGGAATCAGTAATCAAATCTGACTCCCTGCTTGGTTCAGTGTTCAGCCATCTGGTCTTGCTAATCAAGTAAATCAGAATGCACTTTTATGAAGAATAAACAGCTCTGCTTGTTGTCGCAAGTGCTCTATTTAATGGTTTGGTGGAGTCTGCTTTTACTTCTGCAAGCCAGGACAATCAAACACACAACCTAGACCCAGAAATCTGGCAGGGTCTTGCTTTTAAACCTTTTCAAGTGTTCCTTTGTTGTCGTTGTTCTTCTTTCTGTTCTTCTTCTTCCTCTTCCCCTTCTTTCTTCCCTTAACCCCTCCCCCTTCCCTCCTGCTCCTCCTTCTTCTTCCTCTTCTCCTCTCTCTCTTTTTCTTCCTTCCATATCCACACTTTCTTCCATAAGTTTAAAATTCTGAGTAGTTTAAAATCTAGCATTTCCTCCTTTTGTTCTTTAGACGACTTATGGTAATAGGTCAGAACCAAAGACCTTGACTAGAGTCATTGAAAGATCAACGTGTCTGTTATTAAGCAAAACCAAAATCACCTTCTTGAGGTCTGACTGCTTAACTGAGAACCCAGAATATTCTAATTTATTTTAAAAAGAGATAATATTTAGATGTGTCCAAATTTAGATTTTTAGCTTCCATGAATCCTCTTAAAAAACGTAAATTAATAAAAATGCTTTTTACCTTACTCTACACGTGAAATATTAGGCCCTTTCTCTCCCTCACTCTCTCTGTCTCCCCCCTTAACTCCCACCTTCCTTCCTTCCTTCCCTCCTTCCCTCCCCTTTCCTTCCCTCCCTCCGTCCTTCCTTCCCTCCCCCTTCCTTTCCTCCCTCCATCCTTCCCTCCTTCCTTCTTTCCCTCCATCCTTCCTTCCTTCCTTTCCTTCCTTCCTTCCTTTCCTTCCTTCCTTCCTTCCTTCCTTCCTTCCTTCCTTCCTTCCTTCCCTCCCTCCCTTCCTTCCTTCTCTCCCTCCCTTCCTTCCTTCCATCCTTCTTTCCATATCTTTCTTTCCTCTTTATATTTTTATTATGAATATCAATGACATTTTAATTTGGTCCACATTTCCATCCCATCTAATACATATTATTGTGTTTTTATTTATACTCATTAAGAATATGATTCAGATGTGTTTATGTAATTATCTATTTTTTAAAAAACTCTAAGTTAAGAATGTTGGAACCTGGAATCAAGATTCTATGAAACAGATAAAGGTCATAGAAATGTAACTGTAGTAAGCCACAAGAGTAGTCATGTTGAAACTAGAATATTCCTCCCATAGATGATTAGGAATCTCAGAAAACCATGTTATACATACCTATATCAGGGTCCTGTTTTACCCATTTGAGGACAGACTGACTCATTCGTAACCTTTCAATTTGGTTAAAATATACAATGATGGAAATTTATTTCACCAACCATGGACAAGACACTTTGGAGAGAAAAAAACAAAAGCATATGATTTTTGCCTTCATTAATCTTTAAATCTAGTTATGGAAAAATATACTATACATAAAGTACAATACAAATTAAAAATTAAAAGTAAACAAAGATCCTATAGGGGAATTAGCTCCATTAGATGACAGATTTCAAATACTTTTTCAGAAGTAAATATTTTCTACAATGAATATAAGTTAAAAAAATTTTAGGGGCGCCTGGGTGGCTCAGTCAGTTAAGTGTCTGCCTTCAGCTCAGGTGATGATCCCAGGGTCCTGGGATCGAGCCCTGCATCAGGCTACCTGCTCTGCGGGGAGCCTGCTTCTCCCTCTGCCTGCCGCTCCCCCTGCTTGTGCTCTTTCTCTCTCAAATAAATAAAATCCTTAAAAAAAATTTAAAGACATTTATCTGAGAGATAGAAAGAAAGAAAAAGAGAGAGAGAGAAAGCATGGGGGGAAAGGACAGACGGACACAGAGAAGGGAAGCGGACTCCCTGCTGAGCGTAGAGCCTGACACAGGGCTCAGTCTCAGGATCCTGAGATCATGAACCAAGAGTCAGATGCTTAACCAACAGAGCCACCCAGGTCCTCCAATAAAAAACATCTTTAAAGGAGATGTTCATATTGAAATAGAGATAGGTACCGTAAAGCCTGAGCTATGTGTTCTATCCCTTGCACTGAGGAAACCTCCAGATACCATATGATGCATGCAGTCTGTGAAACATTGACTTAAGCATATAACAGTGAGAAGAGGCTATGCCAATGTGAGCCACAGTGAAATAGGATGGCTCCCTTTCATTTCAAGTGTAAATAATTCATTCAAAAAGCTGTAAACCAATTCTTCCAAAGGGGATTTGACAGAGAAAATTACAGAGATCATTGAAGTAGTTCTTCGAAGAATAAGTTGCAAATTTCAGGAGAAAAAATTAGGAAGAGCATTTAAGACAGAAAGAACCACATGAGCCAAGTTGAGTCTTATGTATGAGAATAAAATATAGACTGTTATGTGTTCCAAGCTGTATTGTCCAATGCAGTAGCCATTAGCCATATATGGCTAGGTTGATTTATATTAATTGAAATTAACCAAAATTTAAAATTCAGTATCTTAGTATCATTAGTCTACATTTCAAGTGCTCAATAGCTGCATGTGACTAGTGGCTACCATATTGGACTGTGCAGATCTAGAACATCTTTATCATCACAGAAAGTTGTATTGGACAGTGCTGGTCTAGAAAATAGGAATCTTCAGAAAGAAAATAACCTAGGCTGAGGATAGAAAAGTGTTTATGGCCAAGTTGTGGAAAGTCTCCAGTACCGTGGTAAAAATTTTACATTCTGTACTGTCAGCCCTATTAAGCCAAGCATGTTTTTAAAAGCAAGATGGCATATTCATATCTATGTTTCTGAGGGATAATTAGGAGCAGAATAGAATATACACTTGAATGACAAAAGAGGCAGGGAGATAAATTTGGAAACAATTGCAATAGTTCAAGAAGTAATATATTCCTGAAGCAGGAACCAGGGTATTAGAGTGAAGATAATATGTGGGAAAG